AAATTTTGGGTGTGCATGTTTTCCATATCTGCGGCCTTACAGTACTAATAAACTTCACTTACGATATATTAAATGTGTCTTTTTAGGCTACTCATTAGATCATCAAGGTTATCGTTGTTTAAACTTAACCACTAACAGAGTCTTTTTATCACGCCATGTTATTTTTTATGAACATTGCTTCCTCTTTCAAGAGACCAAGGGCGCTCATGCCCCCATTTCTTCTTCCTCTTATGCGGATTCTGCACCACTTTTACAAGTGTTTGGGTCTCTTCCCAACCAGCATGCTGCCTCGCAGCCCCATGGCCACCACATTGTCACGCCCACCTCTGCCAACCCATCATCACCCTTGCCCAATGCCACCAATCCTCCCACAGCCATTGCCTCCCAAACAACCCAACACTCCCCACCTAGTTCTCTCCAAGTTTACCGTCGCACCCCACATAGGACAGTCCTTTTCCCTTTCTTGACCCTGACCCTGTTTTACCAGGTTCCTCCAGACACTCATCACCTTCGGCCACTTCTCGGGTAAGACCTTCTACTACTCATTCTATGGTGACTCGTGCTAAAACTGGTCTTCGTAAGCCCAATCCTAAATATGCAAATCATGCTTTCTTGGACTCTTCTAATGATATTGTTAAGCCCACTTGTTTCCGTTAGGCTAATAAATTTCAGGAATGACGCACTGTTATGGGAGAAGAATTTATGCTCTTCAACGAGCTGGTACTTGGGTCCTTGTTCCTCCAAAGCCCACCTTAAATGTTTTGCCAAATAAGTGGGTGTTTCGCATCAAATGCAATTCCGATGGCTCCGTTCAACATTACAAGGCCTGTTTAGTGGCTAATGATTTTCATCAGCAAGAGGGGTTGGATTATGGCGAGACATTTAGCCCAGTTGCGAATCATTCCACCATCCGTCTTATCTTAGCCTTATAAGTTCAATTTCAATGGCTTGTTCGTCAGTTGGACGTTCAGAATGCTTTCCTCCACGACTATCTAGATGAGGAGGTTTATATGCGTCAACCTATTGGGTTCATTGACGCCCAATTTCCTGACCATGTTTGTCGTCTTAAGCGTTCTCTCTATGGGCTTAAACAAGCCTTTCGGGCCTGGTTTAAATGTTTCTCCACTCATTTGGAAGATTTGGGCTTCATTGCTTCCACGGCCTACTCTTCTTTATTCATCTATCTTAATGGGTCCATTCAAGTTTATTTATTAATTTATGTTGATGACATTTTAATTATAGGCAATGCCGGCCCACATCTCTGTTAGCCTACACCTCAGACCACCTGAAATCTCCACACTCATTCAAGACTTGAGCCGTCTCTTCTCCATGAAGGACCTCGGGCCTGTTCATTATTTTCTTGGCATGGAAGTTCTTCGCACTCTTAACGGGCTTTCTCTCACTCAATCCAAATATATAAAGAACTTGTTGACACGCACAAAGATGCAGGACGCCAAACATATGTCATCTCCTGTTGCCAGTGGACGTCGTCTTAGCCTCCATGATGGTGTTCCATTAGATGATCCTTCTGAGTACCGCAGTGTCGTTGATGCCTTGCAATATCTGACTCTCACACGCCCTGATATTGCCTTTGCTATGAACCACGTCTGCCAATTTATGCACCAACCTACCTATGCTCACTGGGTTGCTGTCAAACATATTCTTCGCTATCTTAATGGTACTTCCACTCATGGCTTGTTCTATAAACCTGGTTCCCTGTCTTTAATGGCTTATTCTGATGCGGACTATGCCGGTGATCCTGATGATCGTCGCTCCACTCCCCTTTCAAGAGACCAAGGGCGCTCATGCCCACATTTCTTCTTCCTATTATGCGGATTCTGCACCACCTTTACAAGTGTTTGGGTCTCTTCCCAACTAGCAGGCTATCTCGCAGCCCCATGGCCACCAAAATGTCATGCCCACTTCTCCTAACCCATCCTCACCCTTGCCAACCCTCATATCCACCAACCCACACTCAACTTCTCCCTTGCCCAATGCCACCAATCATCCCACAGCCGTTGCCTCCCCAACAAACCAACACTCCCCGCCTAGTTCTCTCCAAGTTTATCGTCGCACCCCACATAGGACCGTCCTCACTTTTCCCTCTCCTGACCCTGAACCTGTTTTACCAAGTTCCTCAAGACACTCATCACCTTCGGCCACTTCTCGGGTAAGACCTTCTACTACTCATTCTATAGTGACTCGTGCTAAAAATTGTCTACGTAAGCCCAATCCTAAATGTGCAAATCATGCTTTCTTGGACTTTACTAATGATATTGTTGAGCCCACTTGTTTCAGTCAGGCTAAAAAATTTCAGGAATGGCGCACCGCTATGGGAGAAGAATTTAATGCTCTTAAACGAGTCGGTACTTGGGTCCTTGTTCCTCTAAAGCCCGCCTTGAATGTTGTGCCAAATAAGTGGGTGTTTCGCATCAAACGCAATTCTGATGGCTCCATTCAACGTTACAAGGCCTGTTTAGTGGCTAATGGTTTTCATCAGCAAGAAGGGTTGGATTATGGCAAGACATTTAGCCCAGTTGTGAATCATTCCACCATTTGTCTTATCTTAGCCTTATCTGTTCAATTTCAATGGCCCATTCGTTAGTTGGACGTTCAGAATGCTTTCCTCCACAGCTATCTAGATGAGGAGGTTTATATGCGTCAGCCCACTGGGTTCATTGACCCCCAATTTCCTGACCATGTTTGTCGTCTTAAGCGTTCTCTCTATGGGCTTAAACAAGCCTTTCGGGCCTGGTTTAAATGTTTCTCCACTCATTTGGAAGATTTGGGCTTCATTGCTTCCACAGCCGACTCTTCTTTATTCATCTATCTTAATGGGTCCATTCGAGTTTATTTATTAATTTATGTTGATGACATTTTAATTACAGGCAATGACCCGACCCACATCTCCACACTCATTCAAGACTTAAGCCGTCTCTTCTCCATGAAGGACCTCGGGCCTGTTCATTATTTTCTTGGCATGGAAGTTCTTCGCACTCTTAACGGGCTTTCTCTCACTCAATCCAAATATATAAAGAACTTGTTGACACGCACAAAGATGCAGGACGCCAAACATATGTCATCTCCTGTTGCCAGTGGACGTCGTCTTAGCCTCCATGATGGTGTTCCATTAGATGATCCTTCTGAGTACCGCAGTGTCGTTGATGCCTTGCAATATCTGACTCTCACACGCCCTGATATTGCCTTTGCTATGAACCACGTCTGCCAATTTATGCACCAACCTACCTATGCTCACTGGGTTGCTGTCAAACATATTCTTCGCTATCTTAATGGTACTTCCACTCATGGCTTGTTCTATAAACCTGGTTCCCTGTCTTTAATGGCTTATTCTGATGCGGACTATGCCGGTGATCCTGATGATCGTCGCTCCACGGGTGGCTACTGCTTGTATCTTGGGTCTAATTTAATTTCATGGAGTTCTAAAAAGCAATGAGGTGTTTCTCACTCCAACACCGAAGCTGAGTACCGCCAACTTGCTTATACTGCTGCTGTGATTTCTTGGTTCCGTGCACTATTCTGTGATCTGTAGCTTTCTCTTTCCTGTCCTAAACTTTGGTGTGACAACATTAGCGCCATCTCATTGGCCTCCAATCCTGTCTTCCATGCGCGTACTTGTCATGTTGAGGTCGATTATCATTATGTTCTTGAAAAGGTTGTGCGGCAAGAGCTCGACGTTCGTTATCTTGTTACTCATGACCAAATTGCCGACATTTTTATGAAGGGGTTGTCTATTCCACGTTTCCAACTGCTGACCTCCAAGCTTCCAGTGCGTTCCTCCCCTGTGAGCTTGCGGGGGTGTGTTAGATGACTATTGTCCTTAGAACTCTATCTTGTATTTACGTTTATCCCATGTGGGATTCCTCTTGGTTATCTGATAACATTGTATCCTTATCATAGTTGATATAGGACTATATCTGTAATACTGTATAAATCAATACAATATGCCCTCATGATGAGTGTGGCTTTACCCCATACGTTCCAATTCTTTCAGAAAATACCATAGGCAAATTCGGAACTAGATGAGCAAATAATCTTACAACTAGTGGTTAGGGAAATTTTAATGTTTATTACTTCTTACTATTTTCTCGTCTCCTCTCTGGAATATCAGTTCTTAAAAAATGCAGATATAAAAATCTTAGAAATAAAGTGTGACTTAGGCGAAAGGTCCGAATTCATGCTGCGAAAGGAGATGGCCAGTTTAGGTTGCTGAGCTTAGAACACTAATCTCAGAACAACAATACATGTACTGAGTACTGACATCTATATTAAAACTATCATTATCAATCATCTCCATTGTGATGATCACTTCAACAAAAGTGTTTAAACTGAATCCATAATGTGCTGGTGTAATTATTCTCCATACCATATGGAAATCGGTGGAACCAAACGCCTTTCGTCTATTGGATTACATCTAAGAGACTACCAACACATTTAATGAATGCAATCTAACGGCCAAGATTAGAAGTATATAACCAATCTTTAACATAAAATACTTATTGGAGAATCTCCCTTCCATTAAGAATTTTCAATGGGGTTACTTTCTTGACATGAAATGAATATATACATATATATATATTTTAAATTTTGTTGGCCAAAGTGAAATGAATATGTATCTCGCATCTTTATGTCATTTTGTTTAAAGCTCTTCGGTTTTTGATTTCCCACCCCTGGGGGTTTTTTTTTTTTTTTTTTTTTTTTGTCTTGATTTTTTTCTAGCATCAACTTAAATGAATTTTCAGGCGTTTACTTGTTACTTGAGCTTTCGTTTCTCACCTTTCTTTCCCATTGGTCTTTCAAAATCTCCAAACTCGTATGTGTTCATCTCCAAATCTGCTAAGGCCTATGATCTCATTTTAAAGTGAGGACAAGATTTTCTTCAGACCAAAAGCAATTCTAACAGCAAATAGAAATAGTTACAAATTACTATAAAATGATTTAATAAATCTGTTTTCTTTTCTTTAGATAGATTTGTTTGGGCATCAGGTTCTCCTGCAACTTGACCAATATTCAGCTACAAGTTTGGAGAAGTAGGAGTTGGTATCCAAGAGCTTTGAAGGCTCTTCATACTCCACCAGCTTCCCTATAAACATACACAAACAAATTAAACCACCCTGCATATTAGCAATGGGCTTTATATAAAAATATCACGAGGTCACAGGCCCTGCAGTTTTGATTGAAATTCTGTGATAAAGAGATAACTGGAACATATAAAAGCTTACCACAGGAGAGGACCATGACCATGTCACTGTCTATAACGGTTGGAACTCTGTGAGCTACAGTTATCACTGTGCATTCTGCAAATTCCTGCCTGATGATTCTCTGCAGAACCGCGTCTGTCGAAGAATCAATGGATGCCGTAGCCTCGTCTAGAACTAGAATTCTGTTCCTCTTGAGAAGGACTCTGCCAAGGCAAAAGAGCTGGCGTTGTCCCGCACTCCAATTTTCCCCTTCATCACTTACTGTTCAAATCATTTTAGTCACATAAACAGCATTATCAATATATTCACAACCTCAATATATACTTGATGGAGTTGAGTGCTTAAGTTAAGATGTTTAGCATATATTTTCTCTTTTTTTTTTAAGGAACGTCATGAACTCACCAGATGAGTCTAGAAGATTAGGTAGGCTACTGACTGTTGCCTTGAGCTGACACTTCTCTAGAGCCTACAAATAAATGATTAAAGTCATCCATAATGTATTAGGACAAAACAGAAGTACATCTAAACATTAAATGATGCATTAACTTCATCAGTAAAACTTGCTGAGAAACAATGTAAAAATTATGCGGGAAAAGCCTTTTCATCAGAACTAGAGTCAGTTAGCTCACTCTCCATATCTCGTCATCGGAGTAAAGGCCTAGAGGATCCAAGTTGGTTCGGATGCTACCCCTGAAAAGAGTTGGTTCTTGAGGGATGATGCTGAGCATCATTCTCAAATCTTTTAGACCTAGAGAGCAGATGTCAATGCCGTCTATAGTAATTGTACCACTCACTGGCTCTACCAAGCGAAACAAAGCACTTATGAGTGTAGTTTTTCCACTTCCTGTTCTTCCCACAACTCCTACTCTAGTTCCTCCTTTGAATGTGCATGTGATTCCCTTCAGAACTAGAGGAGCATTTGCACGATATTTTATCTTTAACCAACGAAAGCAAATGATTAGTAATTAGATTTTTTGATGATCAGATGATAAGGTGGTTAAGAAACTCCAATGAGGAAGTTCATCTGCATGATTTTGAACATCTTACCTTCAGAGAATACAGCTCTATCCTACCCTTATTAGGCCATGAAGATGGTGGCCTCTTGTCCTCCACAATTTCTGGAGGCTCTGGTGAAATCTGCATGAATTGCTTTATCCTTTCAACTGAGATTATGTAGTTTGATAAGTTACAATACCATCGAGTCCCGGCAATTTGTGTCACAGTTAGTGATAAGCCATAAGAAAGAGAAAGTCCCACAAGCCCTGCAGACATCCACAAAACAAAGACAAATGTTAAAAACCTAAAATTCGATTTTGTGAATAATGGACCACGCTTATAGATACCTGGATCAACATAACCCTTAGGGAGAAAAACAAGGAAAAAAGCAGCCACAAAAAAGGTCAAATTCTGAAGTGCTTCTGTCCTTATAATTAACCACTCCATGGTTGCATTAGAATGAAAGAACAGTCTGGCATCTGTGTCAACTAGCTTTAAGTAGTTGTGGAAGAACCTGTTTCCCATTTTAAAAGCTCTAATGGTGACCACTCCGAGTGATGTTTCGGCTGCATAATTCATAACAGGAGCTTTGGTTGTTCCATTGATTCTTATTAGTTCCCCAGCAGAGGCTAGATAATAACCCTTGGAACAAAACAAAAAAGTTATTTCCATCATATACAGGTGAAGAAAGAGAGGGAGAAAATTAAGAAATTGATATTCCAATCCACCTGAGCATGTTTTGCAGCAACCATGGCTGGAATGCCTACAATGAGAACTTGCCACGTGACAGAAGCCATAATTGCAAACGTTGTCAGCAGTTCAATGACAGCACAGACAGTAAAGATAATGCAGAAAGGTATGTCAAAATCCAAAATACTTAAATCTGATGAAGCCTGCAAAATTAGAAATACTGAATGAATTCTGACAATAAGTACTTGTAGTACACCTACAACGAAAGTGAGGAGTATATTTTTTCAGGTGATGTTAAAGATTGGATGTACTTACTCGTGTCAAAATCCGCCCAACGGGGGTTGAGTCAAAGAACAGCATGGGAGCCTTAAAGATAGCCTCAGTGAAACCAGAGAAAAAGGCTCTAGAAGCTTTTAATCCCATATGGACTGCAAAGCATGTCCTTAGATACACAAAGACAGCACTAAGTGTTGAAATTGCAGTGTAAACACCAATCAGCATGCCAATGGTTATATTAGGAATTTGAATGGCTAGAGCTAACCAATAAGTTGCAGCAGCCTGAAGACCAATAACAAAAATACAAATTTATAAATAAACCCAATTCTAGACATGTATTTATAAAAAAATCCAAGCACTATTTAAACATAGAAACACACCCAAAATCAACTCCAAAGTCAACTTTTTGGGTGTGTTTATAAATGAGTTTTGAGTGTGTGTAATGATGAGTTTTGGGTGTGTTTATAAAGTGTTTTGGGTGTTGGGTTTTTTTATAATTTCAACCTCCATTTTGGGTTTTAGAAACAATAATATAAGGGTGCTATTACCCCTAAGCACAGAAGAAGTGTTACTTTAGAAACAATAATATAATCCCAGAAGGGCTTCCATCCATCACCACCAATATCTTTCTCTTCTTCTTCGGTTAGTTGCACGCCCGGTGCACCCTTCAAAGAAATATCCCCACCACTGTTCTTTCCAGTGACACAAGTCCCGTAAGACTCTTCTATCTGAATCATATCTTCTTGGCTTTGATAATTTGAAGGTCCTAGTGTTGTTACTGCATCTCTGTGAGCATTCACAAGCTGCTCAAATGCTGTTCCAGCTGTCAAAAGACTCTCATAGCTTCCAGATTGAGTAATTTGTCCACCTTGCATTACCTGGAAACGAAATGATATGTGCAAAGGCATGTGTTTCTTACTTATATGTTACCAAATACTCATTGGGGGATCATAAATAATACATTTGAAACTTAACCACAAATAAAATTGGAATGTCTACTAATAATAACATACCAAAATATTATCAACTTCTGGGAGGTATTCAACTTGATGAGTCACCAGAATGACAGTTTTCTTTGCTAGAGCACCCATGACACAGTCCTGCAAAAGTCATTCAAATTGAGTAAATGGTTCCTACAAGCACAACGTGACTAAATTTGCTTATTGTACTTCATAAAACCCTTGAATTTGTTTTTCATACATGAAATAGAATTGCAGCAGTATGTGCATCCACTGCGCTAAAGGGGTCATCAAGGAGATAGATATCAGCATCACTATAGACAGCTCGCGCCAGCTGAATCCGCTGCTTCTGTCCTCCACTCAAGTTAATCCCCCTCTGGCCTATTTCAGTAAGATCACCACGGTCAAAACTATTAATGTCCTTATCCAGAGCACAAGCATTTATGGTCTTCTCATATTTGTTCTTGTCCATTGGCTTCCCATAAAGTATGTTATCACGAACCGTCCCACTTTGTATCCAAGAAGTCTGAGAAACGTAGGCTATAGTTCCAAATGCATCAACCTGCTTGCAAGAAATAAAAAAGTAAGCGAGTGAATTTTTTGGAAAAAACTTGATGCATGATAATATATAAAATATTTTCATCTGTTTTTAAACTCACAGTTCCTGAAATTTTTGGCATCTCTCCAAGTACAGCATATAACAGTGATGATTTTCCAGCTCCAACTGGTCCACAAACTGCAACTTTCTGCTCCCTTTGCACTTCTAAATTCACATCTATCAGAGTTGGAACTGTTGATTCAGGATACCAGCTGAAAATGCCTCTTTCAATTCTTAAGCTTTCATCTGATTTCTGTGATGTTAAGTTCCTTATTTGATCATCATTCAGCTCGTCATCGACCAAGAAAGCATTTAGCCGGTCAAATGAGACCTTGACTTGGATCATTACAGAAAGAGCCTCTGGTATCATTTTGACAGGTTCTCCGATGCTCCTTAATGAAGCTAGAACTGTGAATATTGTACTTGCATTTAGAGGGACACTTTGGAAAAGGATACATCCCGTAAAGATAGCTGAAGAGATGATGGTAGGTGACATCCAATATAGTAAATTGCAATAAACTTTTTTAAATTGTGACTCAGCCAACCATTTGAATTCACGGTCACGAAGGGAACCAACCAAACTTTTGAACTTCTCTTCCCAGGATTGTAACTTAATGATTTTCATGCTGTTCAGGATCTCAGAAGTGGCTCTCAGTCGCTCATCTTGAGCTATCATGAACTGGGACTGAAACTTTTGAATTGCCTTTGCAAATGGCACATTCAGGAGACCACAAATGATGAGAGGAATCAAACCAGGAAGAGCACCAAGACCTACCACCCCAAAAAGAACACCAACAGAGAGGAGAAGTTGCAGTGCATAGCTCCATGTTGAATGGAACCACCATGGGAACTCTCCCATTCGGTAGGCATCAACTGCTATATAATTTACAATCTCCCCAGCAGAGTGCCTTCTCCTTCCTATACTAGAAAGTTTCAGCTGCTTTTGATATATTGCCGCTATCAAACCTGACCTCATCCTCATTCCAGACCTCCTTGAATCAAAAAACCAATGTCTCTGGCTCAAACACTCAACCAACTTGGTAAGAATTAGGCACCCCACTATAGTGATGCCTTCAGAGAGACTTTCGTTGTCACTATTTGAATAATTTACAAAAGAATATAGTATAAGAGGAGATACTACAACTGAAATGGTCCTGAGGAATGCACAAAAGGCTATCCATATGTTTTCTTTCATGTAAACTTTTGCTATCGCTTGGAGAGCCAGGTTTCCTGTACTGCTTGAGCTCTTCTCCCTTGACAGCGAATCCCATGCATGAGCAAACTTCTGGTATGCCAAATTTGCTTCATCTTCTGAAACCAGAGAAGGGATGTCTTCAAGAGCTAATGTTTTTGAGTAACCCAAGTTTAGTAAAGGATTAATCCAAGAAAATGTCAATTTGCTAAGGAAGCTGGCATGATCTAGATCTGTTTGGTGGCTCTTGCTAGCAGACTTTGTAGCTATTAAAGGTTCAGATAGGCTGTTAACTTGGGTATGTTGATAAACAAAGTGATGGAGGTTTCTAAAAGCACACAAGAGAAGTAAAAAGTTCACTAGCCATGACAGTATGTCAAAAAGGTGAATGTCAGGGGTTCTTAAAAACATTTCGATGTTTAGAGCCGAGACCAATGAGAAGGAGGACACCCACCAAACAGAGTACAGAACTTTGATCCATTTGGACCTTTGAACAAGCAAGGAAACTCTGAATGAAATCCAAATTAGTCCTTGGACAAAGTAATCCAACCAGCCAAAGTGATTGGATTCAACACTTTGGGTTTGGGCTATTAGATCCCATAAACCAGCAGCAAAATATGCAATGCTGGTAAGAGCGCAACAGACTGAAACAAGTACAGAGAATTGGTCCCTTCTGTTGGGATCACTACCTATTATATGATGTTTTCTAATGAAATCTATGAGCATAAATAGGCAAAAAAGAAAGGCGAAGAGCAGATTTACGATGTTAATGATAGTTGTTTGAGTGCAGTAAGAACCCAAATCAAATTCTCCATCACACATCCGTGAGAAAGTACTCCCTACAATAAATTCCGTTGGATGGAAGAACATATCAGAGTATTCATCATATAAGTTAAACAATAAGTTGGGAAACATAAATAAAGGTGAAGAAGTGCATGCAATTGTGTATGTAAATACAGTATATTTATTCAGCCAAAGGGAGACACTGCATCAAACAGAAAGAAGGCAAAGATGTAAAGCCATACTGATGAAGTTTTTCCAATACCAAGAAATCTAATTTCACTTCAATATGGAAACATAAAATTCTATTAGCCAATTCACCATATCATAAACCATATAAACACAAGAAACTAAGAGATAAATTTAAAAAAATAATAATAATCATATTGGTTTCTTACCAAATGAACTCCTCAAAGAAGCCATAAATTTGTAGCAACTTAATTTGTTTCTCTGCAGCACCCCCAACTATGTGGGAGGAGCAAAAATCTCAATACAAGTTCACCGGAAGGAACAAGTACCCCCTTAAGTTCCTCTCTCATAATCACCAAAACAGGCCTCTTTAGAATCCTTAGAGAGCCCTCACATTAGCATCTTGTTTCATTTCCTTCCTCTGATTGTATGGACAGGTTTGAGATGCAATTTTTTGTCTTGCATTACTATTTTAAACAATGTTTTCAGACTTTTGGTTGTCTCTGCAATTCACATGATCATATATTTCAGGCATAGTAAAAGTGCATTTCTTTATTTAGTCCCACTTGATTGCACAATCCAAGTTTTATTCTATTTTTAATTTTTCAATAATTTATTAAGTCTAGATGCCTACTAGTACTGGACATGTAATGTAAGAACAACAACAAAAACAAATTTCCACCTTTTTTTTTCATATTTTTAACCGAACACTATGATCAATCCACTCTCAAATATTCCCAAGTTACCAACAACCAACGTCACTGAGAAACCAATAGCAATTTGATTCTTTAGAAAACATGAAAGGAAGAAAAACTTTAGTGCGGGCATCAAGGACGGACCCAGGAATTTGATGTCGTAGGGTCATAGTGTAAAAGTTCAATTTTTTTTTTTTAAGATTAATATAACATTGAAAATGAAACTACAGTACATTCATTCATAATTCATGTAAAAAACAACATTACAAATTACAATTGGCCACGACGAGGTTTCATATTTTGAAAACGAAGCATTATAGCTTCATTTTCAATACAATCAAAAACATCCTTCTCAACATAAACAAGTAAGCTATCACTCAACCATTGATCTCCCATTTTGTTCCGAAGTGGACCTTTGATAATATTCATGACGGAAAATGCCCTCTCAACTGAAGCAGTAGCAACCGGTAAAACTAGAGCCAATGTAATAAGCAAATACACATAATTGAATGCTCGATGCATCCTTGTCTCCACCATTTTTTTAATATTCATGACGGAAAATGCCCTCTCAACTGAAGCAGTAGCAACCGGTAAAACTAGAGCCAATGTAATAAGCAAATACACATAATTGAATGCTCGATGCATCCTTGTCTCCACCATTTTTTTAATATTCATGACGGAAAATGCCCTCTCAACTGAAGCAGTAGCAACCGGTAAAACTAGAGCCAATGTAATAAGCAAATACACATAATTGAATGCTCGATGCATCCTTGTCTCCACCATTTTTTTAATATTCATGACGGAAAATGCCCTCTCAACTGAAGCAGTAGCAACCGGTAAAACTAGAGCCAATGTAATAAGCAAATACACATAATTGAATGCTCGATGCATCCTTGTCTCCACCATTTTTTTAATATTCATGACGGAAAATGCCCTCTCAACTGAAGCAGTAGCAACCGGTAAAACTAGAGCCAATGTAATAAGCAAATACACATAATTGAATGCTCGATGCATCCTTGTCTCCACCATTTTTTTAATATTCATGACGGAAAATGCCCTCTCAACTGAAGCAGTAGCAACCGGTAAAACTAGAGCCAATGTAATAAGCAAATACACATAATTGAATGCTCGATGCATCCTTGTCTCCACCATTTTTTTAATATTCATGACGGAAAATGCCCTCTCAACTGAAGCAGTAGCAACCGGTAAAACTAGAGCCAATGTAATAAGCAAATACACATAATTGAATGCTCGATGCATCCTTGTCTCCACCATTTTTTTAATATTCATGACGGAAAATGCCCTCTCAACTGAAGCAGTAGCAACCGGTAAAACTAGAGCCAATGTAATAAGCAAATACACATAATTGAATGCTCGATGCATCCTTGTCTCCACCATTTTTTTAATATTCATGACGGAAAATGCCCTCTCAACTGAAGCAGTAGCAACCGGTAAAACTAGAGCCAATGTAATAAGCAAATACACATAATTGAATGCTCGATGCATCCTTGTCTCCACCATTTTTTTAATATTCATGACGGAAAATGCCCTCTCAACTGAAGCAGTAGCAACCGGTAAAACTAGAGCCAATGTAATAAGCAAATACACATAATTGAATGCTCGATGCATCCTTGTCTCCACCATTTTTTTAATATTCATGACGGAAAATGCCCTCTCAACTGAAGCAGTAGCAACCGGTAAAACTAGAGCCAATGTAATAAGCAAATACACATAATTGAATGCTCGATGCATCCTTGTCTCCACCATTTTTTTAATATTCATGACGGAAAATGCCCTCTCAACTGAAGCAGTAGCAACCGGTAAAACTAGAGCCAATGTAATAAGCAAATACACATAATTGAATGCTCGATGCATCCTTGTCTCCACCATTTTTTTAATATTCATGACGGAAAATGCCCTCTCAACTGAAGCAGTAGCAACCGGTAAAACTAGAGCCAATGTAATAAGCAAATACACATAATTGAATGCTCGATGCATCCTTGTCTCCACCATTTTTTTAATATTCATGACGGAAAATGCCCTCTCAACTGAAGCAGTAGCAACCGGTAAAACTAGAGCCAATGTAATAAGCAAATACACATAATTGAATGCTCGATGCATCCTTGTCTCCACCATTTTTTTAATATTCATGACGGAAAATGCCCTCTCAACTGAAGCAGTAGCAACCGGTAAAACTAGAGCCAATGTAATAAGCAAATACACATAATTGAATGCTCGATGCATCCTTGTCTCCACCATTTTTTTAATATTCATGACGGAAAATGCCCTCTCAACTGAAGCAGTAGCAACCGGTAAAACTAGAGCCAATGTAATAAGCAAATACACATAATTGAATGCTCGATGCATCCTTGTCTCCACCATTTTTTTAATATTCATGACGGAAAATGCCCTCTCAACTGAAGCAGTAGCAACCGGTAAAACTAGAGCCAATGTAATAAGCAAATACACATAATTGAATGCTCGATGCATCCTTGTCTCCACCATTTTTTTAATATTCATGACGGAAAATGCCCTCTCAACTGAAGCAGTAGCAACCGGTAAAACTAGAGCCAATGTAATAAGCAAATACACATAATTGAATGCTCGATGCATCCTTGTCTCCACCATTTTTTTAATATTCATGACGGAAAATGCCCTCTCAACTGAAGCAGTAGCAACCGGTAAAACTAGAGCCAATGTAATAAGCAAATACACATAATTGAATGCTCGATGCATCCTTGTCTCCACCATTTTTTTAATATTCATGACGGAAAATGCCCTCTCAACTGAAGCAGTAGCAACCGGTAAAACTAGAGCCAATGTAATAAGCAAATACACATAATTGAATGCTCGATGCATCCTTGTCTCCACCATTTTTTTAATATTCATGACGGAAAATGCCCTCTCAACTGAAGCAGTAGCAACCGGTAAAACTAGAGCCAATGTAATAAGCAAATACACATAATTGAATGCTCGATGCATCCTTGTCTCCACCATTTTTTTAATATTCATGACGGAAAATGCCCTCTCAACTGAAGCAGTAGCAATGGCCTGTACACAAACGACGTCGTTTTGGCGAGGTCTTTTAAAAAAATTTCGGTGCTGTGCAGCTGGCCCAAAACGACGGCGTTTTGGCCAGCGTAGTTTTTTTTTAAAAAAATTCGCTACCAAAACGACATCGTTTTGGTAACCGGGCAATTCAATTAAAGAGAACACCAAATTTATACTAATTAACCACAACAAATTCATAAATAAGACATCCAATATATCAAAACAATATAATATAATCATACATTCAATTTCAATTCAAGTTATTTAGGTTTAGAGTTAGAATTTACCTTGAATTGTGAGGTGGTGGAAGCGGAGCCAAGCTTTTGGAAGCGGCGGCGCTGCTAGAAGTGGCGGCAATGGAGGAGTTGGGGCTTAAAGGCTTGGTGGGGGAGAGGGTTAAAGGTTTGTGGGAGGTGGAGATTGGGGATTTAGGTTTGAGGGTTTAGAAAATGGGGGTTTTGAAGTTGAAAAATCGGGAGAGATGGGGAGGGCAGGTTTGTCCCAATATAGAAGCTGATCTCTTTTTTTTTTTAAAGGCCTGGACCAAAACGACGTCGTTTTGGCCAGGTATTTTAAAAAAAATTTGGTGCTGTGCAGCTGGCCCAAAACGACGGCGTTTTGGCCAGCGCAGTTTTTTTTTAAAAAAAATTCGCTACCAAAACGACGTCGTTTTGGTAACCGGGTTTTAAAAAAAATTAGAAGCTGGGCCAAAACGACGCCGTTTTGGCCAGCTCCTTTTGAAAAAAGAACAGATTTCTGTTCATCTTCTTCTTCCTCAATACCTCTGCAACTTCTTCTCTAGATTTTCATGGGGTCACAGAGCAATTCAAAGGAGCCTTCTACCTTACTTTCTTGGAGTCCATAGGGTCGTTTGACCCCATTGACCCCACTGTGGGTCCGTCCATGGCGGGCATCCGTTATGCATGGTAGTAGTACTAGTAGTAGAGTCAAGTTAAAAGTTAAAAGATGACATGTGTCTCGAATTTGTGTATCGAAATGAACTCTGCAACTGCAGTCATACTTCTTCAAAAATCTTCTCTCTTTGTTCTACATCCGATGGCATCTTTGTTGTCTAGTTGCTACGCTCTTATAGGACGAAAAACAAGGTGGCTGACTGTTTAGGGAAGGGAAGCTATAATTTTGATTTGCGGTTTTTTTTTTTTGCTTGATGAGATTCCTAGCCGGATTGAGGCTACCTTGGATGATGATTTGTTAAGAGCTCCTAGAACTTGTACAGTCTCGGGCATTTAGTTTTTGTGTGTTTATGGGTTAATCCCCCCATTTCACCAACAACAACAAAATATGACATGCGTCTAAATTCAGTTATCAATTTTTATTTCTTAAACACACGTGTCATTTCTTCACTGAAATGTAACATAAAGAAAAATTGCAATCCAAACTGAAATTTGATAATTGCATCAAGAAATCACTTGAGCATTACTTGTTCTTTTCTTAGTTTAGTTTTTTATTTTACTTAAAGCAAATAAT